TAGGGCGACCATGATAGTCGACAGCTCGGATGACGACCTGTGTGGTATAGGACAGTGAGATGACACATGAGGATTGTGCGGATACACAGTGTACCAAACGAATGTGATGAACGGGGGAACCGAACATGAGACAGCTGAGAGCCTAAATCGTTGAACTGCACACACAAGACAAAAACGCCTACAAAATAGGACCGAGAAAAGTGTCAAAGCAAACATGCTGCAGTTTAGAGCGCTCATTCAGTCAACAGAACTTGCAACCATCTCTCAAGGATGGAGCAGTTGAGGGTTGTTCAGGTCCCGATTAGTCCGAGTATGGGCATGAAATATGAGACCAGTGCAAAAGGCTTTATGTACTCAAGTTCTTAAAGATGTGCTTTGTGTGCTTTGTACCGATCAAATTAATTTGTCCATCATTTTAGAGAATTTATTCTAAATGCGACTGGCAACGCTAGAAAAATGTAAACCAGAACTTGCCCAACACAAGCCGATGTTCCGTGACTAAATTGCCAAAAATAACCAAACCGAGAGAAAGATTCCAGGATAAAGTGAAGTACAGTAAACGTGAAGACAAAGCATATGAAGTAATGCTAAAGTGATGTGAAAAGACGGAAGGTTTCAAGATAGTATTGAGAACGTGAGAAATACTGATAGTGGGCAGAGTTATAAGAATGATATGGCAGGTAAATGGAATCAGTTAAACTCTGGAATAAAATTTAAAGCCGCAGCGCAACCGTCAAACTGGTGAGCAAAAGTAGCCCGCTTAGTCAGACACAAACTCGAACAGACACCCGAAGTGAGATGAATTTCGAAAACATAAACAAAGGTGAAAGAAAGAGGAAGGGGTAAAGAGGGATAATAGTCGCAAAAGGATTCATAGCAAGAAAAACCTCACTGACTTAGCGGCCGAGTCCTGTCTGGGAGAGAGTGTTATCCCTGATGAAGCAGACCCAACGGGTTTCATTCAGAGAGATTGTAAGTGACCAAGCCATTTCATCAAACCCTGAGGGTGGGTTTTCCTCTGACTAAGCTCAGTTCAGATTCGGGTACCGAAATGCGGTGGATCCAGTTGCCAAGACTCAAGTCACCAGAAAACAATAAATCACAATGGTAAGAAAATAAGGTTGAAGGCAAATAGATTACAAAGAAAATGGAAGCAAGGAGGTGCGGTAAACTAAACAGGATGGAATGAGACTTACGAGCTACATGTAATATACCGAATGCAAGTAGGCCACTGCCTGCGTGACGGCTTCATGTCTGAAAGGGTCTCCAATCACTAATGTGGGTCACCCCAGGACCCAAATCCACGAAGGCGGCACGCATAAGCCTGATAAAATTACTCAGTCCCTTTCTTCATGCCTCTATGCCACATCACCGAGTGGCCATCTCGTGGTTTCGACCAGCTGGGTACAGCCACGGCGTATAATGTACGCCGAGATAGTCGGTCAACGGGCATACGGAGGACATGACCTAGCCAAAGTAAGCGGTTAAGATGTAGCAAACACTGGAGTGAGGCACCAGAAGGCTTCTTGCTAAAAGCCAACTGGCGGATCTCAGTGTTGCTCACCTGGTGTTCCCACCAAACGTGAGCAATACTCCGCAAGCGCCGGTGGTCAAACACAACCAAGCGTTTAATGTGTTGGCCACATCTTTACGATCCGCCAGATGGTCGGGCATCCTCAAGCTCTCAGTTGGCCTACTATTGTATGCTACCTGGACACAGGTGCTGCATTTCACTAATTTGATCGTGCTACTCTGGAATTGTTTGTTTAGTAGGGAAGTACCCGAGATTTATGTCCATATTCTTCAAGCAGATTACTCTCGGACCCATTGCTAGTATACGGCAGACTTTCGCTCCCGTCTACTGACACCAGAGGTGTAAGACAGGATTGCCCCGCATCACCCTACTTGTTTAACTTCGCTATGGGTGACACTTTATAGATTGCTTCAGAAATCTGTGGACCTATTGGCGTCGAGTCACTCCCAGATGTACCGTGCTGTGACTTGGAGCATGCTGACGATATCGCCGTAGTCTGTGACTCTTCGCAGGCTGGCCAGCGCATGTTGCGCAGTCCGACATGACCTTTCATTTCAGTTCACTTAATCAACTATGATGCGAACACTGAAGTTCAGTAGATCCAGTTGCCACGACTCGCACAGTAAAAATAATAATTAATAACGCCGGTAGGATGGTGGGGTTGGGTGCAAATAGAATGTAGAAAAAATGAAAGCAAAAGAAAATGTGTTAGACTAATCAGAATGGAACGAAAGTTAACAACCAGATGAGAGAAGCCGAATGAAGGGACGCCATTGACTTAGTGACTGCATGTCTGACACGGTCTTCAACCATGGTTGTAGACCGTTACGAGGCCCTTATTCAGTTAGACGGCACGCACCAGTCAATTTATTCAGGCATCTATGCCACCTCATGGAATGTCTACCTCGCGGTTTCGCTTAACTTGGTGCAGCCACAGCGTATAATGCACCTCGAGGAAGCCGATCAACGGCCATACGAACTACATGGCCTAGCCAACGCATACGACTAAGATTTATCAAACACTCGAGTGAGGCACTAGAAGGTTTCTCGCCAAAAACCAACTGGCGGATCTCAGTGTTGCTCCCCCGGTGTTCCCACCAAACGTGAGCAATATTCCGCAAGCGCCGACGGTCAAACACGGCCAGGCGGTTAATGTCTCCAATGGGTGACCCGTAACCGGAAACGATCGCAATAGGCGTAGTACTGACCAAACAGATGGTTGATGGGGGATGTGTACTAAATTTGTTGCTGATGGCTTCAGTGAGTCGTGACACACTGAGAAGAAACTAAAGAACGATGTGTCGCAAGACGATAGTCATTGATCTTACAGTACCTCGGAGTAGGGTTATAAACGCAATGGACTATTGGAAGTCAGCTAAGTAAAATGCACCGGGAAATGTGATATAGAAATAATGAATGCCTCCAGGTACGAAGTGGGCGTCACTAGAGGTTCGGAAAAGATATGAGCAGAGTTGAGGACACTTTACAACGCAAATATACACATATCTCGGAGATATAACACGCGCCAATCCGAAGAGTACAAAGTATGGTCTTGAGCTGCCAGCTGATCGAGGTAATGCACAGTGCAGGTAGTGGAAGGTGCAAGGTAAACTGGTACTGTAACTTTAAAGACGACAGGCTTTCCATTATGCTGTGGCTGGAGAGGTCAGGTGGAAGCGTGATGGGTTAGCAAAAAGGAAGATGGAGGAAGAGGAATAATGGAAAAGAACCCAAGCGATGGCGTGCCGTGGACAGGCAATATCTTCCCAGACGCTCATTCCGAGCTTTGCTCTAAAGTGTCCATTTCTAGCGCTTGACTCAACAGTCTGATCAACAAATAAGGGGAGATGAAGCCCAGACAAATAGTGCTTTCAGGGCTCAACGGGTGTCCGACTAAAGCGAACCGCAAACAGGCTTGAAGGATACAAAGGAGCTGTGTGTTTGCGACCACAGCTTATGAGGTGCCTGTAAACGCGGTCGAGCATAGGCGATTTCCATCGGGTTTGCACCTGTTGAGCATGGGTCGCGTGGTTTGAGGTGGCTACTGGCAAATCAGTGAGTTCTGTCAAAGTCAGAGAAAACCCTAGCATTTGAACTATGCCCGGACTGTACAGGACTTATTACATATAAAGCTGCTACCGACCATGACCAAGCTTTAATGAGGGAGAATCATTGGCTTATCTCTAGCCTAAGCTTAGAGGAGTGCCCAGTTTGGTCTTTCTACTCCATTCGCTAACCTGTCAGGCAGGAGTGGCGACGTGCGAACTGCCGCATCTCCTTAATGTGAAATCACGTCGCAATATGACAAACCGTATATTATGAGAGGATATCTTCATGTTATTACAATCAAATAGGATATCGGGCACCCAGATCTTTGATAGTATATTCCGCATAAATCACCCACACTCACCGTCTGTCTCCTAATGCCCGCTCAGAGCCACAGCTATGACCTGCGTCACTGATCGAAGGTAGAAAATAACGGAAGTAGTGTGGACGAGCAGGCGGTAGGATCATGGAAACGACGTACCTAAGCAGTAAGCCTGTTACGAATCGGGTGCGATAGATGACTAGTTCCACAAATATGCAGGCAGGTCTAGTTTAGATCAACCACAGAATATATTAGGTAAACACAAACTGATGTCTGTACAAGCCAGGATATCGCCAATTGGACAAAGACATTGCAGTTCCCGAACATGGCATGCCGAAGTATAATGCGTATATTTTAAAAAAACAAGAGCGTGATGGTGGATGCAGGTTAGGAACAAATGAAAAACAGTGCATAGTGACGTTGAGGTAGCTCGGTAAGCCAAACTAGCAAGGTAGTTTGGAAAATAAAAAACCTCACGCCAATTTTGTTCTCGGTATTCTCCAGTTGGATACCTGAATAAAACAGACCGTTTCTTACTTGCACAATGACCAGTAAAGTTATTAATAATGGGAAAAACTGTAAAATGAGATGAGACATGCGCACCTTGACAGTCCAGTGAATCACGAGCTGAGAGGGCAAGCTTGCAGTACACAATGCTGGGTATGTAGTGCTCACGAGAATGCGACCAAAAGCAGTAAGACAGCGAGCGAGATCAATCAATGTGGCACCACCCGATGCACCGGAGTGTTCCAGAGGAGAATCTGAGCCATTTCTCACAGATCGTTCGACGCTAGACCTCGCAGTGCGCAAGCCCCGACGGGGACCAGATGGTGCAGGGCAGTCCTGATAGCGAAGAAAAGCATTCTCTCTCGGTTCCATAAGACTGGTGACTGTGTCCAATTTGTCGTTCAAGTAATTGATGGCCTTGGAAATGCTCCGTACATCCAACTGTGTTGGATCGACCAGAAAAAGATTGAGTTGAGGTAATGTGCAGTTAAGGAAACAATGCGTAAATGCAACACATAGGAAATTGTGAAGTGCCGTTCAGGCATGAGTGAATGACACGCATGAACGGCTAGTGCCATAAAGCACAAGTGTAAATTCGCATCAGCTAGTACACCGTAAAAAAGCCTGTACGTCAATCACGCAGCGAACTAAGTTCTGCGGCCAAACTCCACATGATTGACAAACAAAAGAGTGTATAAGCTGTAAGTACCAGGTTGCCAATGGAAAACTGAACACGCAGCTGGTGAAAAGAGCACAATCAATCTGGGAGGATAGAAACACGTCGTTGAAAGTGAATTTTCTATGTATAAAATCAACAGCCGAACATCAAAACAGTTGATTATGAGACAAAAGCTGTTGAGATACAGAGCACTTGTAAATCGATGTTAGGGTGATCCACTTGTCAGTAGTTCTCGGTGCAGAGCGTGGAAGATAAATGCAAGAACTCTACCGATACCGTAAATCCACTAAGTATCAACGAAGAGAACTGGGAAATTCAAAATGACAGGAAGATACTTTACATTGGAGAAAAGCTGTGAGTTCAAGAACCTGGTGTGCCTTTTCAAATTTCTACTGCTTTAGTGGAATAAGCAAGGTGATGTGCGTAATACCATGGACGATCGAGGAAGAGTCTTTGATAAAATCAAAGCAGTTTAGTATCATTTGAAACTGACCGTAATCTACAGTTGGCTCGGTCATGTGAGCCGTATGGATTCGACGCGGATACCGAAACAACTCTTATATGGTCATCTGAGTATTGGGAAGCGGCATGTGGGGAAACCAAAGTTACGTTACCAGGACATGATCAAAGTGAGCCTCTCACGTTCTAATCTTGATTGCAGGTTATGGGAATCGAAGGCGGTTGATCGGCGTGCATGGCGCGATCTAATCACGAAGGCAGTTGCCGAAGTACGGGAGAAAGACCTCATGCATGCAGAGAAGTGGCAAGTGCGGAAGCGGCAAGCACAGATGGGTTGTACTCCATCGACATCGAGCGCGTGGCGCTGTAGCACATGCGGTCGCGACTACCTGAGTCAGGCACGCCTAGTGAGCCATGAGCGAGGCCACTCGGAACCACTACCGAAGCGACGACGGGTCCTGCAGAGAACGTAGGCAGAACCAGCGCAGCGTTTGTAGGTACGCTGCATTCGATTTACTAACCGCGCGCTTGCATGCTAAGTCTATTTATTTCAAGTGGTGGGTTTTCAATTTTGTCCTGTTGCTTTTCTTTCTCATATAAATGTCTACCCTTACTCTCTTCTATAAACTTGCACACGTCGCTTAAGCCAACTGTAGTTATTTTCGATAACATGTTCGTGTTTGTGGCATTTCCGTAAAATATACTTTCCGACCTTGTGAACTTATCTCGGATTCGTTTGTAAACAACTTATTCCATGTGCTCATTAATTTAAGATTTATGTCACCGTTTCCTTAAGCCTTACTCGATTTATTTTAGTTGTTATCTTTCTCTCAAGTGATTAGCTGTTGCCTGATATCCCCCGTGTGGCTGCGCTTGATGTGGATGTTGATAAGCTGCCTACCTGTCTAGTACTCACTACATCGTCCATACTGGCTCCAGAAGACAGTTGATAGTTGCTGGAAGGGACGGGGTTCACGGTCCTTGTGGCCGTGCTAGGCTCGAAGAGTGGTTCCATGCACACAGTGTGGAGCGGACTACGGTCCAGCCACCGCCTTGTGTGCACTTGATTCCCCAAATACAGCGTGCTTGTGTTTGTCTGTGGAGGCTCCGTTGATGAAACGTGGCTCCCATCCGCATGCCTCCCGGTCTTATTCCTTCGGGTTTACACTGGATATGGGGTGTGAGGTTGGGGCTGTGGGTGGTGCAGCGCAAGCAACCCATGGTCCCTCTGTAGGCGCAGGCGTCCTGTGGCTTGCCACAGTGACAGGCAAATCCGAAACCGGATGCCGCCAAGCATATATATATATATATATATATATATATATATTGGTAAAAACGTTATTACGGTTTTCAACCTTAAACTTTAAGTACACATATCTTGGCTCAAACCTGACATTTGTGTCTGAAAGCCGTTTGAATCAGCACACTTCTGCCAACGGGAACCAAAATTATTTATCTTGGATGAATAAAAGTCCACGGTTCTTGTGGTGATGAAATCGTCGAAGGCGGTTTCAGCATCTTCTACGGTTTTAGAAGTTTTCTCTAGGAGGAAGTTATCCAGGTGCATGAAAATGTGGTAATCGGTAGGTGGGAGGTCAGCGGAGTATGGTGGGTAAGGCAGTTTCGTAGTCCGGTTCGTGCAGCCTCCACAGGGTTGTTTGTGAGATGTGCGGCCGAGCGTTATCATGGAGAAGAATTGGCTCCTTTCTGCTGTACAGTGCCGGGCACCGGTTTTGAAGTTTTCGGTGTATTTTGACAATTTGTTGACAATACTTCACCGCTGTAATGGTTTCTCTTGGGTTCATCATCATCATCATACACGTTAGCTAGAGGTGGGGAACACCTCAGCTACTGTGCCGCAATACAAAGAAAAAAAGGAGAAAAAAAGCAACTGGTGCAAGCCGACTGAGCTACCGGTAACAGATGGGCATCGTTCCGGTAAGCTACCAGCCGGCTGCTGTGCACCCAAAAATTATTAGGCAAAATTATATAAGGCTAAATAATGAGATCGTGGTTGGAGGGGAAGGCTAAGAGGGATGGGGTGGGACAAAGAAACTCACAGCACGAACGCCACTGAGGTCGGCTCCTAGCCATATCAGCAAGTGTGTCCAACCAAACGTGTTCATCGTCCTTTGGACCCCAACCAGGGAGCCGAGACGCTCCAACCGAGGCCAGCTCAGAAGTGAGGGCCTTCATTCCTCTCGAACAAGTTATCGCTTGGCCACCCCTCCTCTTCTTCCATCCACATCCCCGGCGCGCAAACAATACACATCGCGGGAGTCGATGGGCTGGCATGCGTAACACGTGGCCGAGCCATCGGAGCCTGATGCGTGAAATAACGGTGCTGAGCGGTTCAGTTCCTTTTCCTGTGCCGTAAACGAGGCGTCGAACACGCTCGTTGCTCACGCGGTGTTCCCACCAAATGTGAGCTAAATTACGAAGGCACCGGTGGTCGAACGTAACTAGCCTCTTCAGGTCCGCTGCTTTAAGCGGACAGGTTTCACAACCGTACAGTAGGGTCGAACGTACTCCTGCATTGTACACTCTACCCTTCAGGGCGAGAGTGATGTCGCGCCGGCGCCATAAGTGGCGAACGTTAGCAAAAGCACTTCGAGCTTTCGCTATACGATTCGTGATTTCATCTTCAATCCCACGGGCGCTGATACAACTTCTCAGGTAGTTGAATTTTTGAACGACTTCTAGCTGATCCCCACCAACGGTCAGCGTAGGAGGCGGTCCAGACCAATCTTGGAGAAACGCTTTGCACTTCGAGGGTGCGAAGCAAAGCCCGAAGTGACGGACAGCTAGTGCTAATCTGTCCGGTGCCGATTGGCACGTTTGTGAGCTGTCACAGATCAGGGCAATATCATCAGCATACTCTAAATCAAGAAGGCGTTCTCCTGGGAGTAACTCCACACCTTCTAAGTCGTGTCCTGTGAAAGCGACTTCCATGACTTCGTCAACAGCGAAGTTGAAGAGGAAAGGTGACAGCGGGCAGCCTTGTCTCACGCCGCTGGAGATATTAAAGGGCGACGACAACTTGCCGTAAGCCCTCACACTGCCCGAGCTACGCGCATATAATGCTCGGATAATATTCACATATTTCTCAGGTACACCTTTCCTGAGTAGACAGTCCCAAAGTGCACATCTATCCACCGAATCAAATGCACCTTGGATATCGAAGAACACGACAACGGTGGGCCACCAATATATGTGACGGTGCTCCAACAACTGACGCAAAGTGAAGATGTGGTCAATGCAGCTACGACCTCGACGAAATCCAGCTTGCTCTTCGCGAATCTGGCTTTCACGAGTGCCAGTCAGTCTGTGAAGGATGACAGAGGCAAGCAATTTGGAGGCGATGGAGATCAGACTAATTCCTCTATGGCTGCCGCATTCCGATCGTGAGCCTCCTTTGAAAATTGGGACTATGACGGAGCGGCTCCAATCGGTTGGGACAGTCTCCTGCTCCCACAGTCTCACTAGTAACTCGTGTAAATCATCCACAAGAGCAGGTCCCCCGAATTTGAAGAGGGCTGGAGGAAGGTCATCAGGTCCCGCAGCTTTGCTCAACTTCAACAGTCCGATCTCATGTTCGACTTCTGAGCGAGAGGGTGGATCCAAAGGAACAGCCCACGGAGCGCGGCGGTCACTGGTCGGCGAGAAATCTAACAATTCCGACCGATTAAATTGCTGTTCAAAATGCTCAGCCCAACGTTCCAGGCGTTTTGATAAGTTGTGGATAGGCTGTCCACTCTCGTCACAATTTGTTTCACTAACACCAGGTCTCCTGCTGCCCGTTTCCCGTATAAGACGGAATAACTCACGATGGTTACCAAGGGCAGCGGCCATTTCCATCTCTGTTGCACGACGAGACCAGCAGGATTCGCGGTCTCTCTTCAAGCTAGCACGGAGTTTTGCCCGGAGCTCTTTGCGAGTTTCATTGTGTTCGCTTCCAGCCGGAATATGCCGGCGAGCATCTATAAGTTCCAGAGACTGTGAAGAGACCCAATGTTCATGTTGGCGATTAGACATACCACATGAGGATTTGCCTGCTGCTAGTAAGGCCTGTTGCATATGAGACCAGTGAGCTTCAATTGCATCCAGTGAGCGTTTATCCAACTCGGATGACAGCGTAATTTGATAGGCGTCCAGAACAGCTGGATTCACCAGTCTGCCGGTGTCAATGCGCTCACAACATCGTCGAGGGCGTCCGCCAAAGCGCATCCGCAGGTCAGCACATACAAGTGCATGATCGGTGTCAACACCTGTGCTCCAAATCGAGCGACAGTTCTGGACGCAG